ACGCGAAAAAGTATAAATTCGAAAGCAGCTAGTGCATGCATTGTGATTACACGCAGAATGCACCGTGGGATGGTGTCATTGGAGGTAAGCTAGTTTTGCTAGTTTAATAATCAAGACCTATTAATTATCTTTTGTTAATCAAGACCTAATAATACATTATTGTTAATATTTTATTATTATTATTATTATTATGTATAATCAGCTACGATTACATGTATACGATTATATGATTATATATGATATATGATTATTATACGATTATACGATTATATGTATACGATTACATTGTTAACGTAAACAATATTTTGTAGTTATAACCCATTGGTTGCACCCGGCGCGTGTCCTCCATGTCTCTATTCACGCACGATCACGTATGCTCACGCGCACGCACGCACGCATGTACACACGTACACCCGCGCACACGCGCGCGCGCACCCCTACACATGCATATTACGCATGCACAATGTATGCGTGTAAACTCCGTGTATCCGTTACCGGTGATGATAACCGTAGTCCTGTGTGTGTTAGTTACTATTATCACGCATTGCTTGAAACTTGTGCTATTCTGCGCCTAGCAGCTAAATTTCGGTTTGTGACACTACTTGAAAAAGCTTAAACGATATCTGTTGTAACACAACCATTATTGTATATAGAAGGTTTTTCTGACAGGCCCGGCGTTGTCTGAGCTTTTTTATACGCTTTTACCGGTTCCTTTAGGGCGAGTGGTTAAACCGAAATAGTTCAAGACAAAACGCCCGGCCGTTCGATTAATATTGTAAAACGTTTGGCCAAACCTGTTATTGTTATCCATTGTTGAATTCAGAAAACAGTCATGGATAGGAGCTGGAGTATGGATAGAATAGGAGCTGTGTAACCCTTGCACGCGCCCGGTCATGATAAGGACTCGACAGCACATACGCACGGATCGGAGTTACATTAACACGCAAGTACAAGTACACGCACGCAAGCGCAGTTATCACGTAGTGGCACGTAAGTAAACAGTAAAACACTGTGGAGTATACCGTTGTGACTGGCGTTCGATTTTGTCAGAATTGCCCATATTTTTTGGTTCTAAAGTTTCTGATTTCCCTGCATGCATGCTTGCAGACACCCTATTCCCTTACTCGTGCCAACCAATGTCGATGTTAGCTTTGTTAATCGGTGCCTAGTAATCGGCGCCAACCAAATCTCTGTTAATTGGTTGTCCAACCGTATTTTCGTTTCTGTGGAAAGCCGGCCATGTAAATAAATATGTTTATAGCCCAAAACTATCCCGTCCAGCCCCGGCGCGCCCATGCCACGTAGCTTTGTGATCAGACAAGTAGTTTAGGGGAAAATTGGTGAGCCGCACACCAATATTCTCGCCTATAGTGATTAGCATAATATAGTCAGGAGTAAATAACATATTACCTTCGCTTTTATTTACTTCCGATATTAGTTAGTATCGGCATGTCCGGTTTAGTGTCTGCATTATCGTTGCATGAGGGGCTGATGGTTGCATGAATTCATTATCTTTAACGCAACTACAGTGTCTGTGGTAAGCACTCCACTACCATCAGCCAAGAAACTACTCTATGTCATACTCATGTGCATCGGAACGTCCTAGAATGTAGTACCATAATACATCTCCCTCTTGAACACAAACAAATTAAAGGCAAGATTTTGTCTAGGGAAGTTGCTCTAACATTCAATTAATCCTAGATCAACGTCTCCTCTTGACTTCAGACACTTCTGATAATTAGCCATGATGATGTCTATAGAGTTATTTAATTAGGGATAGCTACGACTGCTAATAACCCCGATCTATAGCGATCTACTATATAGTAGATCGGGGTTATTAGCAATACATAAGCATTATATAATGATTTATTTCTACGCGTTTCAAAAAAGTCGATGTATTCTCTATTGCACTGTGGTCTATTATCTGACATTATTTCACGGGGAACTCCTACGGGGCTGATTGCTTCTTTTATTTCAGCACGAACTGCTTTGGCAGAAAGTGACTCCAACTGTTTCACAACTGGATGGCGACTCTAATAGTCAGAAATTATTATATGACCACTGGTCGTTTTTGAATAGATCTGTGGAAAGCTTTGTCAAAGGGATGCGAGGTCTTCCATGCATCTTCATGGGCGGCTTTTGTTATTGGACCTCCAGTTCATGACATAGCTGACAGCCTTTGCACAGTGTTACTATTGATACTTGGCCAGAGCGAACTCTGATGCGCTAGTCCGCGGGCCTTCTCAATCCATTGATGCTCGTTATGAGGTTGATTTAGTATTTCATTTTGCAATGGAATTGAAACCATTACCTAATATGTGTGCCGTTGAAAATGATAGCATTCTCTATAGTAAACTCGTTTCGGAAATCCAATGACTTCTCAGGTCGCTTGGAAGTTTCTGTATATTGCCCGGTCATTTCTTGAATATTATCTCGGCCCATCCTGGTTCACTTATCAGTTGTTCTTGTTTGGTTGGTGACAAGTTGAACATATTAAGTTGTGTAATATAGTCAATATAGTCTGCAGTTTCATCCATCTCACTGTCATTATGCTAGTCCTTATTGGAAAGTGTGGACAACGTATCTATCCAGATGGATCTGAGAACCGGGTTAATCGCGTATATCGATGTTGCATGTCTGTATTTTACTAGCTTCATCTAAATTAAGGTAGTGCTGCATAGAGGTTTCTGGAGAATACTCCATAGAAATTTATAGTCTGGTGTGATTAAAAGACCTTTGAATACCGTGGACTATTGTTAAGCGTTCTCTTTCCAAATTTCTATAGTTTTACGGTGCAATGAGTAACGTTTTACTGGAAAGATGACTGGTCCGTTTGCTTGTACCACTGTGGCTTCGATGTTCTCGAAATGGTGTGTTCACTTACAAGGATGCCATCTGTTCTGGGTCGTAGAATTCATATCCCATGTTCACAGAAGCCAGTTCTTAACCTCCTGTAATACCGTCGGATGGTCTTTACTTCACTCAAATGGGGTGATCTTTTTTACTATCTCTCGTGGTATAGCTGCGCTGTCATGCAGCTTTGGTAGATAGCTTGACTGGAACGTTACAATACAGATAAATCTCTGCGTATCTTGTTTTTCTGTAGCATTGCTATTCTGATATTGTTTTCCACTTTCCATGGGCCAGGGAACATTCTTGACTTTGGCCGTGCACGTACGCTCAGACAATGTTATCTTGTTCGTCTCCACCCCACATTTCTATGAGTTGAGCACTAGACTGTTCTTCCATAACCTTCAGGAACTCGGTCAGTCTTCTGACATGCTTTTCCCGGTTTCTCCACACATGACTATTTCATCACTGACACATTTCATGAGGCAGTACTCGTTCTAGTTTAATGTTACCAAACATCTACCTGGAGGTACGATATTGAAAAAAAAGCGTCTTCCCCAGACCCTGCGCCAGCATTCACTCTCACTGGACCCCGTACACTGGTGATGCCGTGTGCAAAAAAAAACATTTTATCTACTCTGCGCGCACATGATATGCTTATCATTGATTCGTGACAACTATTTTGAGCTGAGATATCTCAAGGTACTCAGTAGATGCTTGCTAACGAAAGTCCACGTTTATTTCTGCCATTATTTGATAAGACGACATAGATGTTTGGTTGTATATACTCATTATATTTTACGAAGCTACAGTGTCTGCGGTAAAAACTCCGTGGTAACAGTCGCAGCGAAATACACCTCTCTGCCATACCACAGCGCATCGTGATCTCATGGAATGCAATATGTTACAACATGATAAACCAATTTCCGCTTTTCCTTTATAGAGTCAAAATTTGCAGTGTCTATTTCTAACCTTCAATCCTCTGGCTTTCCCTTTCCTGCATTTTCTGGCTCTTTTAATTTGGCTTTTGTCGATGAATGTAATGTTTGTGATAGAGGAAGCGCTAATTGGGTGAAATTTGAAAAGGCTCTAATACAGCAATATTGATTAGTCATCGATGACATTATTACATACTGAATAATCCGCTGTTATTTGGTTCAATTTTTTGGCACCTTTAACAGTAGATTTAAAAATTGCGCCTACTGTTTGGAGGTGGAACATCGAAACTTATTGCTTTTAACTTGTTATATATATATTAAATAAAAAACAGCTTATAAAAGTACTTCCCCGGTGGGAACCGCAAAAATGAGGAGTTTTGCGGTTTGGCCTATGAATTTTTTATCTGCATTACGTTTTTTATTTTATTTGAATATTTGTTGGTCTGTGCTGTTATCCAATATATAGCAGGTATGACTGAACGCTAAAAGCATTCATTATGTTAGTTATTATTTTCACCTCATTACACCACGAAAATTTATCTTTAAAGTCCAGGGACTGTACCGGAGAATGAGAAAGCCGAGGTTAATCATATTGATGAATCATTGCAGATTTGTGTTTATCTCTTAGGTGCATTAAATAGATGTAGTTGAACATTCTAATATACATTGCTACGCGGTATCGTACGAGGACAGTTCAGTTAGTATTGCGCTGTGCTTAGTTTCACACTATTTCACGTGTGTATAGGTAATCGATCGAATATATGTGAACTAGTTCGACTTTTGTTCGGCGTGTTTTAACTTCATGTTGCCACATGCTATCTACTTGTCTCATGAGCATATGCGAAAATTAATTTAATGGTAAGAAGTATTAAAATGAAGTACGGTTAATCACTTCAGTCAAAATTTTGCGAGTGCAATACATGTTCTGATGTTGTATATTTGGTTTAGACAATTATGATTGTGGTGCTTCTCAATTTTATAGGTTAAACAAATACAAATCTATAAGAAATGTCAGTATGTGTCAGTCAAATATATTTACATTTGATTGCTTAGAAAATGTTCTCAGAATACAGTAAATTGCACATTTACTTTTAATATTTACTAAATTGTGTTTCATTGTTCACATGCCCGCAAGCGAACCCTGCCTGCACATATATGGCACCATCTATTTGTGAGCTATTCATTGTATTTTAGCATTTCACAGATGGGACGATGGCTGCATCAACAAATAACAAAAAGACCGTCTCTCTAGAGGGCAGTCACAACGGCGCCAACACGAAGCTAGAGCAAGGATCTGAAAAATGCACGTCGTTGGCTTCAAGCGTCAATGAGAAGTTGAACGTGGATGTAAGCATCACCAAAGAAGACACAGACCACCCCGCTGAGCACGGCCCACCTGAAGGAGGGTGGGGGTGGGTGGTTTGTATTGCATCATTCTGGACCAACGGAACTATATTTGGTATCTTGAACTCGTTCGGTGTGATCTACGTGAAGCTTCTAGAAGAGTTAAAAGAAAAGGAAGAGCAGAGTGCTACCGCGTTCAAAACGTGTAAGACCATCTTTCATTATTCTAGTCTTAGATTACTTGCATTATCTCCGTGAATCACAGACATACGCCATCAATCCTTGATATATCACACCATAAAATGGTAAATTTCCACAAAACATTTAAACGTGATAGAATCTGTTAATGTTCTTTAATTAATGTCCTAATATTTTTAATATAAATGTTTAAACTTAATTTAATGTATTAATCTTTTTGGTTAAATGAAATACCTTTAAGCTGCTGTTTAACGAATAAGTCTGCATGGGTTCTATTTACCAAATTTCTTCAACAAAGCCTGAAACGTTTTGAATGAGTACTGTGGCAACAGCGTTTGAATTTAGCCTACAGTGTCGTATATGTGCGGTGCCGCCTTAGACGCCATGTTATAGGTCCGCGGTATACCATAATGCTGCGAGATAGCACATATCAGTCAGACATACACACACACGCGCCCGCACACACACACACATACACACGTACACACACACGCGCGCGCGCACGCACGCACGCACGCACGCACGCACACACACACACACACACACACACACACACACACATATACTGAATAAAAACAGTAACGTGGGTCTTCATTCTTTACAGCGTTGGTTGGTTCGGTGTGCGTCGGCTTGACGTTTCTGATGTCACCACTGAGTGGGATCCTCATTGATCTTGTCGGCATCAGAAAGACTGCGTTTTGTGGTGGACTTCTCGCCTTCACTGGCATGCTCCTCAGCTCCTTTTTCATCAAGCTTCGTGTGCTCTACGTGACCTACGGACTGATGATGGGTATAGGCTGCTCGCTAGCATACACCCCGTCGTTAGTTATTCTTGGACATTATTTTAAGAGGCGACTTGGACTAGTCAATGGACTCGTGACCGCCGGCAGTGCCGTGTTTACGATTGTCTATCCGCTTCTTTTGAAGCCGGCGCTTGAGAAAGCCGGACTTTCCCTTTCTTTTAAAATACTCAGCGGATTTTTAGGCGTCATGTGCCTGAGCTCGTTAGTGTTTAGGCCAAGGCTACACCACCCTCAGCACACCGTGCAGGAATACGTTGCGTCGATTACATCAATAGTCGATTTGCGGAAACGCAGAGGGATCAAATCGTGCATCGGTGGTGTTCTCAACTACCGTATATGGAAGAATTGGAACTACGTGTTTTGGGTAATTGGGGTGCACGTGGCTTTCTACGGTTATTTCGTACCGTTTGCACACCTGGTAAGGATATAACCGCGAGGTAACATATATCGCTATAGCGCACTCGCAAGCATACCATCTCTCTTTCACACACACATACACACACAAGCGAAGGTAGCGACACACACACCACACACCACACACGACACACTACATGACACAGCATCGCGCGCGCGCGCGCCGCACGCACGCACCACCACCACAACACACAGCACACCAAGCGGCCAGGCACACACGACACGGCAAGACACCACACACCACGCACGCGACCGCAGACGCACGCGATACACACGCACGCGGCGACGCGACGCGCGACACCCACACAACGGGACGTAAAGTACTGAGAGACGACAGGCGCACGCAAGCTGAATACATCGAGACGAACAAGTCCGCCAAGCAGAGCGCACGCTAACACATCACACACATACATACACAGAGAGGCACACAGCACACAGCGCGGCACGCGCACAGCGCACAGGCACATCTGCAATACACACACACATAGATAGCAAGTACATACATATAGCATACATACAGTACAGTACATACGATAGCATACATACAATCCATACAATACATACATACATACATACATACATACATAATACATACAGTACATAACAGTGCATGCATGCATGGGCATGCATGATGCATGCATGCATGCATGCATACGTACAATCAAAACATACATACATACCATATTACATACAACTACATACTTACATACATACATAGCTATACATCACATAGCCATACATACATACATACACTGACATACATACATACATACACTACATACATCACGTATCATAGCAATAATACATACCATACCTACATACACATACATCACAGTACCATACATAGCATACATACATACATACCATAAGCATACATAACATACATACAATACATACATAGCAATAATAATACAATAGCATACATACATACCATACATACAGTAATACATACGATACCATATCATACATAGCATACATACATACATTATTGTCATAACATACATACATACTATACATACATACATACATACATACATAATACATACATACATACATACGAAGTCATACAACATAAAATACTACATAACATACGATACATACTACATACATACTACATACATAATACCATAGCATACATACATACATACATACCAGTGACATTACATACATACATACATACAGTACATTTCCATTACCTATCATACATACATAATCATACAACATTACATACATACATACATACATACGATACATACATACATACTACCTCGATACATAGCATACATACATACGATACCTACATACATACATAGCATACATACATTACGTCATGCATGCATCACGGTGCGAGTGAACAGAACTCGTCAACGCACGGCGCTGACGCACACATCACACGCACGCGCATACACGAGGATTCAGCACACACAACAACCACCAGACACACGACACACACACACGGTTATTGTACACGCACCGCAACAGGCACACACACGTAAATACTACACTGCGCGCACAGCTATAAATCGTCCCACACATCACCCCACCCACGCCATACACAACAGCATACCATACACACAGCGCACGCGCGACGGCACGCGCTGACGCACAACACACGTCACACACACACACACATACACCACACACACGCACAACATACAATTAAGCAAACAAATAAACACCAACATGCACGCACACGCGTGCAGTACATACTGATTTCTTATATACTCCTTTATTTATTTAAACTTCGCAGATGTAATAGATCACGTGACATATTGTATATTGTAGGACGCTATCGCTAAAACTTGCGTGTAAAGATTTTTGTAAAAATATCTGCTCTTTCATAAGGTAATGTCTAATATAGAACGTCCTACGACGCACCACTACTATATTTTCGTTGCACCTTTAAGCTTGAACGTTATTGCCACTATTATTGTCAAATAATAATGATTATATTTCTTATAAAGCCCAACCATGTGAATGACGTCTTGCCGGGCTACAATGGCGGCGTTCTTATTATGTGCCTGGGAGGCGGACATCGGTGGTTTGGCCGTATCGTTTTCGGAAAGATCGCCGACATGCCACGAATCAATAGAGTCCGTCTGCAGCAATTGTCTATCCTCGTCATCGGGATTATGTCTATACTCATGTCGCCGACGCTGGGGACAAAAAGCTTCTGGGTGCTCGTCGTCATCGTTCTAATCATGGGCATCTTTGATGGTTGTTGCGTGTGCATGTTCGGACCGATCGCGTTTTCTGAATCTGGTGCGCGGGACAAAAGACGCATGACGGCACAGCCGCGTGGTAGGGATTCAGTATTCGGGACTGATCGACTCCATTCCAATGACAGCTGGTCCGCCTATAGCTGGTATTCATTTCATTCCTATCTGTATTTATTCACCACATTCTCAAAATAAGCGGTATATAATAAAATATGTAATATCATATAGTATAATTAATATAATATAATATAATACAATTAATATAATATAATATAGATATAGATATAATATAATATAAATTAATAATAATATAACATAAATGATATATAATTATATGGATTATAATATATAGATATAATATAATATAAATGAGATAGGTAATAATATGCTAATATAATCATATTATATTCATATATCTAGGATAGTAGATAGTCAATGATAATCATAGATGATTCATATTATAGCTAATATCTAATATAATATATATAATATATAATATTATACATAACAATATTATTGATGCAATAATGTTGCTTCAGGACAATGTTTATTATAGTAAACTTGGTTAATATGCGGTCACATCGTGCGCAATGTTTGCACAATAAATTCCATATATAACATGAAGTAATACGTATAATAATTCAGACTAATGCATACACTATTTATCTTATGGTTTAACAGTATGTTACAGGTCTGTGTGTTACGGAATGCCGGTTGGGGAAATTTAGCAGGGTGGCATTTTTCATCGTTCCTGGCGTCCCAGGCTGTTCTGCGGTGGCGCCCTGTTGACTTCTGGCTGTACAGACCAGTGGAGCAGCGGTATCTACAGATTCTGCGCATGAGTTTGCGTCCTCCCCTACTATTTTTTCGACGATCGCTGTGAGTGCGAAGAATAATAATGTATGCTGTCAAAGTAGAAACTACTGTTGTGATCATCGCGGTGTTAATTCTCGCGCACGATAAGTTTTATGCATTACTTTATTACTTTATGTTCACGTCTGTTGTTTTATTGCATTATGCGTGTTTACGCCGGTGATAATAGTGAATTAGTCAAGTTATATTTACTTATATGTTAATATATTATGTGTTTTATCGTGTGTTTCCCTAGGGCATTTCCGAGCTGTGACAGAAG